CACGGGATAAGGTTCTAACTGAGATACACATAATATCCGTTGATGGACCATCAATAAATAAGGCATCGCCCTGCGGTCGGCATCTAAGTAATTAATCAATGCGGATATGGTCGATAGATGAAGCTGAATACCAAAATCAAGTGTGCATCGAATATAAAGATGAATAGTTTGACTATGTGAAAGTGTGTCTCTCTAGTGTAACATCCCAAATTCCACAGTAATTTTTCATTTAATATTAAAAGCATTTGTTCTAATTATATCCTCAAGGATCTAAATAAAATCATTTGCTTCAAAACACTAATCAGAGTATAGTTTAAGAATTATTAAGTGTGAAAATCTCCAATGGATGCGATACAATCAAGTTGCGCCCTTCCTTCGTTACCAGTAAATTTGAAACAATTTAAACTTAAAACCGTAAGCACAAGCATAGTAAGTTCCCCCAAGATATCACATACATCCTTACGTAAAGCAACAAGTTTGTTTCAACCCAACAGCCAATTTCATCCAACACGTATGTTTCAACCCAACGGCCTATTTCAGCAAATGGCTTTGTTTCAACCCAACGACATATTTCAGCCAATGGGTCTGTTTCAACCGAACATGTTTATTTTAACCGAACATGTATATATCATACAAGCATACCAATAAGAGTCACAAAGACAACAAGCATATAACGACACCTAGTGTAGACACAGTATAGTAAGAATACTCACCTCACAGTCAAGATGACAAACACCACAGCTCACAGGAAACATAAAGGCTTGTACTACAAACCACATAATTATTAATAAAATGTCAAATCTAAATCTATTACCTTAACCCCAAAAGTTTGACCCAACGTCAAACTTAGTAAAAAAGTTAACATCTCAACATTTTGGTCAAAAAGCGAGCCACACTTTCTTCTGGGCCGGTAGTCTCAAGGATTATGTCATGCTCGGCATAAAAATCATTCATGCGGTTTGAAACAAATTATCCCCCGTTGTCGCAACGACTTCTTTATATCAATTTTCCAAATTGTGTCTTGACTAATTTGTGGAAATACCCTAGGCGATCACCCGCCTCAAATTTGTGTTTTAAGAGAAAAACTCAGACGGATCGACTATAATCATCCACGATTGTCAAAAGTAGTTTGCCCAAGAGAGCGAGGGAGTTTTGTACCTTTTCCATATGCCACAATGTAACAATTCAAAACATTCTTTGCTTTTAATAGAACTCATTGGAAAAGGTAATCGAGTGTGTTTTCAAGTTTGTAAAACAAAATTGCAAAAACAGTTTAATCAAACACCTCTTTGATTAATTGGAAAAATAACTCAAAACCAATTATGTTTTTCTGCATAATATCATGCCTCGATATCTATACATATATATATACTCCTAAAACTACCAACTTGTACAATTAGATCACAATTAGGAAACTAGAAACCGACTTGTTTATGATTTCCTAAAAACTAGGTTAGTCTCCAAGTCCTACTCGACTTAGGATTCCAACAATCACCCCCTAATCTCTAAGTCCTTCTAGAGAATTCTTCAAATCCGATCCGGTTTTAGAACGCGGACTCGTCGCTGTCGTCACATTCCGATAAATCACCTTCTTGTAATTTTTGGAGTCGTTCCGGACATTCAGAAGCAAAGTGACCCGGTTTGTCACACCGAAAACAAATCACCTTAGATCGGTCCTTTTCCCTATTTTTCCGATTTTTATCACAACAACAATTACATTTTTTGTAATTATTGGAATTGGGTTGAGACAAATCAAATTGTTATTGGGTTTTTGTCCTTGTGGGCTATTATTTGATTTGGGACCATTTAAACCACCCGATCCATATGACCCAAATCCGGATCCATTGTTTTGACTATATCCTCCCTATCCACCAGCCCCTTTCCATTTTCCTTTCGCTCCACCGTGAGACCTTGATGCACAAGCACCTCCTGACGACGACACTCCTCCATCTCCAGTCGATTTCACAAATAATACCCTCGATTGATCATTCTTATCGGCATCCTCTTCCTTTATTCTTTCTTCATATGCCTTCAATCGACCCACCACGTCTTCAAACCCCACCGTTTTTAAATCCAGTACATGTTCAAGAGATGCAATGATGTGAATGAAGTTTCTGGGTAATGATTTGAGGAATTTCTTCACCAATTTTGATTCCTCAATCGTTTCTCCTAATGCCGACGATGTAGACGCGATTCCGGATAACTTTCCGGCAAAGCTGTCAATTGTCTCTGATTCCAGCATCTTCAATCGATCGAATTCTGACATTAAGGTTTGTAATCTTGCTTCTTTGACTCTATTAGCACCCATATTACATGTTCTAATCGCTTCCCACAACTTCTTGGCTGAATCTTGATCTTCAATCTGCATTATGAGGTTTTCTGGTAGGGCTTGGTACAGTAGACCTACGGCGAGACAATCCTTCTCTTCGTTGACTTCAGTTACTGGATCAATCACAGTCCAGGCTTTCTGGATACGCAAGATAACTTTCATACACATTGCCCATACGGTGTAATTCGTTGATGTGAGCTTAGGACATAAGATTGTGGTTGTCCCAACCTCCTTCACTCTCGCCGGAGGAGGTTGTGCACCATCTTCTCCATCCAACATGTTGACCTAGTAACAACCTCGTTCTCACAGCCTTCGGTTCCTTGGCTCTGATACCAATTCAAGGTTGTAAAACAAAATTGCAAAAACAGTTTAATCATACACCTCTTTGATTAATTGGAAAAATAACTCAAAACCAATTATGTTTTTCTGCATAATATCGCCTCGATATCTATACATATATTTACTCCTAAAACTACCGACTTGTAGAATTAGATCACAATTACGAAACTAGAAACCGACTTGTTTATGATTTCCTAAAAACTAGGTTAGTCTCCAAGTCCTACTCGACTTAGGATTCCAACATGTTTGGCTTTTGCACACGAATCACAATCCATAGTCTTAAAGGAAGCATTTTTAACAAAATCAAGATCGGACAGTTTATCATTAGAAGTATGGCCTAGCCTCTTGTGTCATACCTCCATTGAAGCCATCATAGCCTTTCTTTTATTTTCCACCATCTTAATCCAATATAGACCATGTTTGCATTTACCCCTTCCAATTAATTCCCTCGAATGCAAGGCCTGCATGAAACAGAAATCTGGAAAGAAAGTCACTGAACGTTGATGATCCTTTGACAAGCAGCTTACCAATAGTAGATTGCACCTAAACTTTTTTTTTGTTGAAAAAGACAAAGTCTCAGCAAACGATTACACTTAAACTTTGGAACATGCAGAACTCCTTTAATAGTGGTTCCATTGGGTACATGACAATTTCATTTACCTTCAACAAGTATGGAATCACCATTTTGTATCATTACAGGAGGTTCTGGATACCATTTTGTTTTCAAGCCATTCAGCTCGATGTGTTATGTGTTCGATAGAACCGGAATCCACTATCTAGCCATTATCATCTCTATCTTTACACACCATGTTGGCTTCTAGAAGTAGTTCATCCTTTGGCGAGTTTTTCTTTGCAATATAGGTTAAGAGAGCACAATATTGTTCAAAATCCGAACTTGCTATAGGACTCGAGTTTGGGTCGAAAGCATAGTATTCGGAATCATCAATGTAGCATGGAGAATTGGTGCCAACATGGTTTTCTTCGATCTTCTTTCCGGATGATTGTTCATCCCCCATGGCTGCCAGCTAGGAACAGATAACGTGATGGAGAGGAAAATCAGGAGGAGGTAATTATGCAATCCAATATACTCATCATTAAACGTGTATAATGCACGTACATTTGGGCCTATACTGGGCTAACTATCATCGCTAATAAATAAATGTTTTATGTCACATGTCATATTCTCATTCAATACAGCACATGATATTTTTTTAATTTTTTCAATTTTATTAAAATTCACTTTGCAAATTATGATTTTATTTACTTTTTTACAAATCAAAAAATATAATAAAAAATTATTGTGTTTTAAAACAATTAAAGCAATTTAAAGAAAGTAGCCTCTCTCCTTCAAGTCTCACGATTAACTTAAAATAAATCTTCCTACTTTCCAAACACAATTTTCGGGCAATCCATTTCAATTTCGTCTCACGTAGTCAGTGTATTAACTTAAAATAAGTCTTCCTAATTTTCAAACACATATTGATCACAACTCAATTATGTATAACTACAATCTCATTCATCTATCACGTTTTCTTGAAAGATTGAGTTTACAGCATCAAGTTCATCATCACATATTGATCCACCAACATCTACTAGATGGTGTAAACAATCCTTTTTATTTTAATGATTAGTTCATTTCTAAATCATTTGATTCTTTTTTATGTGGACATTTTATCTAAAATTTACGTATGTCATCAAAACTTCATTTTATCGTCCCCAAAATCACAGCAAAATGTAAATCCTTTCCTAATTTATGGAAATTTTGTATTTCAGTTCATATATTTACTCAATCTAATTTTTGAATCATACAAAGCAATGAATTCCAATCGATAAACATCATTCTTTCATCACAGTTAGCCGATTCTTTATTTTGAAGTTAAATTCCTGATATCACATTCTGACGACATAAAAAACTACACCAGGTATGTAGTTCAACTTATTTGTTGTTTCAGAACATGTGGCGTATTGCGATTGCACATTTAAAAACAAATTTTCTTCTCACAAATGTTCGAGTGAATGAAAAGTATTAAAAACGATATTCTTATGTTCAAAATTGAAACTTGGTGATCATTGGCATAAACACAAACACCTGGTGTGTATCGAATGCAATCGATACAAATCAATACAAATAGACAAAAACGAAGCTTATCAAGCCTAATTTCAATTGATGCAATCAAAAAGAACCATAAGATGATTAACAAGAACATTCCATTACCAAAACAAGATAGTTTCATTTCAATTTCAGAACTTTTCAGCTAGAAGGTAATTACATCAGGGATCCCAAAAACCAACGAAAACCAGATTGCTAAAGATACTAACAGACCAAGACAATCTAACCGCTAGTGAACTTTGTCACAGCCTTGGTACCTTCAGACACAGCATGCTTAGCCAACTCACCGGGAAGTACAAGTCTGACTGCAGTTTGAATCTCCCTGGAAGACAGAGTGTTCTTCTTGTTGTACCTTGCAAGCTTAGATGCCTCTTGAGCGAGCTTCTCGAAAATGTCGTTGATGAATGAGTTCATGATGCCCATCGCCTTACTAGAGATACCAATGTCAGGGTGAACCTGCTTCAAAACCTTGAAGATGTAGATCTTGTAGGTCTCGACTGATTTCTTGTGTCTCTTCTTCTTCTTATCTGCTCCCGCAGCCGATGCGTCTTTCGGGAGTTTCTTCTCTGCCTTGGGCTTCTTCTCCGCTGGTGCCTTCTCAGCCGGAGCCTTCTCCGCTACTGGTTTCTTTCCGGCAGCTGCCTTGGGTGCCATTGATACAGTTGGAGGGAAAATGGAAATAGAGAAAGATGTGTTTGTAGTAGATGAATTCGAAAGGTAGGATGCTTTTGTTGGCGTATTGGGATGTGTTTATATAGCCTGTGTAAAACCGATCTGATTGGTTAGATTAGACTAACGCGGATCGTGATTACTGGCCGTTGATTGCTATCAAAACTATTTGAAAAAAAAAAAAAAAAAAAAAAAGGTCCCTAATAATCTGATTGAAAAAATGTTGCTATTTTAGAGAGAACGCTGCTATCAAATTATTTAAGAAACAAAAATCAAAATTGATTCAAATGTTAATTGTATGGTCCAGTTATTTTTTTTACATAAAATGTCCGTAATAATCGTCCGTGCAGTTAAATAGATTTACCTAAAATGCCAGGTAATTGCATTTTTCAGAAAAATAAACCTAAGATATAACTTACAAATACACATACATGAAAAGAAGGGAAAAAGAAAACAATGTTGCACAGGTATATATGCTTCTTCAGTTCTTCTCTCTACTATCTTGAAGCTTCCTATCCTCACGCACAAAGTACAACATCTAGGGATCTATGACTTTCCTTACAATGAGCATGCTTATGCTCATCAATCATCCTCTCAAGAGTATACTCTCAAAACATAGCTTCTTAAACTTGAGATGAAGCTGTTGGATTAATGTCTAAGTCCATAACTATTTTTGTATGTACTTGACCCGATGGTGTATGGTCATTTTGGGTTGTCATCATCAAAGCAACTTGATAGGATGAATTATGGAGATAAATGATTAAATATGATTTATTAATATATTATAAGAATAATATATTAAAGGAGAAATCATATTGTTTAATTAATATTAGTCAATAATTAATTGGTAATTAGTTTTGTGACTAAAAGAGATTAATTAAACTTAAGGGACTGGAATTGTAATTATAAGATAATTGCAATTTGGGCCATGCATTGCCTTATATTAAGGGGTGGACGAATTCTATGGGGAAACCCATGAGAAATCGTCCAAGGCCTTAAGGAAAGGGGGTCCATGGGTTGCTTAGGGCTTAAACATCCAAATTAGGGTTTCCTTGTTAGATAACCTTAATAGCCTAACTATATATACATTCCTTATGACCCAAAAACGGGGCTAAGCTTCCTTCTAGGGTTTCCACACGTTTTGGGCAGCCTCCATCCTCTCTCCTCTTCATCTTCTTGCTCTTGGTGTTTGTGAACCATTAGAGGGGTGACATTTGTGACTCTAAGCTTTCTAAAGTCAATACAAGGAGGAATTGGATTGTTATTACTACATAACAATCAAGGTAATGTATTAAACCCATTCTTATGTTAATATGATTACTTGTATGCTAGAATTAGGGTTTATAGTCTTGGATAACTTGCATGTACAATAGAGAAACCTAGATCCAAGCATTAGGGTTTGTATGAGCAGATAGGATGTTCTTATGACCAAAACCTATCAGAAGCCTGATGAAATAACTTCCACATATCTCTTACGTGCTCAAGAGTATTCTGATCCACTTGCCAACATTTGTGAACCGGTTAAAGAAAACGATATTGTCATGCTTATTATTTTAGATCTCCATGAAGAATACAATGGACTTAAGTCCAACCTTCTTGCTCAATAAACCCCCACCTCCTTCTAAGACCTTAACGGCCTCCTTGTTGATCATGACTTCATGATCAGGGAAACCAACCGCATCGCGGCCCCTGTTCATACGTTTGTTGCCACCACCGCCAATCGGTCCACCTCCTCCTCAACTACCTTACCAAGTGATCAATTGCAAACTCTTCAACAACTTCTCAACCAACTTGGTTAACAACAAAACTATGCCCCATCCTCAAGCCCTCAGGCTTCTACACCACCTGCACTCGAGCTTCTCATGGCCGCGAATCCAACAACATACGAGGCCGGGGCAGCCTCTGACACTCATCAGGGGGAATCAGACTCAAATCCCATGGGCTTTTTTACAAAATACAGTTTTTGGCACATGTAATTGGTGCGATATTGGGCACATTCCCTCCCGATGTCCCAACTGAGATCCTAATACCATGCGTATGCGCTCACAACCTACTACTAACTTTACATAAAATTGATCTCAAACTACTACATGGCACCCGGATATTGGCTAAAGCAACCATGTATCTCACGATCTCTCCTCGCTAAACAGTCACACTATAACGTCCCAAAATTCTAAGTAAAAAAAAATTAAACCGATAAAATCAACCATTCATTCATTCATTTCCAAAACCCATCAAGTATAAAATAGTATTAATAGTTATTAGATTACAAATAGAGTCATAAAATGCATAACATCTGTAGATGCGATGCAATCACGTCGAACTCTTCCCTTTGGAACCAGAAGTACCTGGAACATTTTAAACATAAACTGTAAGCACAAAGCTTAGTGAGTTCCCCAAAATACCATATATCATACATACAACGGGCCTCTTCTGACATCCATCAGGACTCACCCGACATTAGGCCCCACTCAGTACAGATCTGTCAGTAACATGCAATATACCCCGCCCAACACATTCATCAGGCATCGCCTAGCATCAGGCCCCGCCCAGTATACATATATACACATACAATATATGCAAGAGTTACACAGACAACTAGAATTCTAGTAACAATAATCAATGGGCTGGCATGGGTGCCTTCAACCCGCTAAACCACTATGAGAAGACTCACCTCAATTTGGAGATATATGAATCACACACGCCTGTGCCACATGTGACTTAGCATATTCACTTCATAGCTAGCTCACATTACTAAGAGTCTCACAAAGCATAAAGCAAGCAACATTCAAACAATGGAAAATCTAAGCATCATATTCCAATCAAACCATTCTATCCTCTAATCAGGAATTTGTACATGTAATTCAAAGGCTCATACAATCAGGCATAACCTAAACATGTTATCCTATCACTGGCTGATCAGTACTATCATGCACCTCATTGAGCACATACATCATGCATATAAGGCATCCTTCCTAGATCCTTATCCCTAATATAGCATGCAGTTCTCATAATCATATCATAACATATCATATCATAACATGTATGGGTATCTTGGGGAAAACTTACTTGAGCTCGGCTTATTGCACGCATCACACACCTTGTTCTTTTCAAAGTTATTTTCTTTTCAAACCTCTTTTATAAAATGATTTTACTTTTGAAAATTTTCATAGCAAGTCCCTAGTTTGAGTTGAGACACACCCGAGAGTGTTCCCGAATCCCTCAAACCAAGGCTCTGATACCAACTTGTATCATCCAAAAAACACAGTCTAAAAATTTAATTTTAAATCATTAATAAAACCATATTTATCTCTCAACGTATAAAAATCATAAACTATGTATCTCAAAAGTATCATAACATCTGTTAAATATATCAGAGTATAAACATCTCATGCATAACAAATGGTGTGTGCACTGCAACCTTCCTGAGCTCTTCTTTCGAAAACCAAGGTACCTGAAAACAAAACTGAAAATTGTAAGCACAAAGCTTAGTGAGTCCCCCATACTACCACATACCATATACAGGCCTTGCCCGCTACATCGGGCCCCGCACGGGATCGGACCGAAATCCGGTATTCATATAAACACAAAAATAATGCAAATAACATAAACATATAACAACACATACTGGGCCTTCTCCACTATGTCAGGCCCCGCCCGGCATCGGGCCGAAGTCCGGAATACATATCATAGCAACAAGCACATAATATATATAACATATAACATAATAACATAACAAACTTCCTCGGGCTGGCCCCGACATCGGACTGAAGTTTGACACACATAACATATAAGCTATTTTTACATCAGGCTTGCCCCAGAATACATAACACATAACATGCATGAATCACAATGAAATAAAGCATACATATACTTTTCTCGAAACCGCCATGACATTGGACCGAAGCCCGAAACATATAAGCTGCATCGGGCTAACCCCGGCATCGGGTCTAAGCTAAACATATACTAACATACATAAACGGGCTGACATTGGCGCCTGCGACCCGTTCCTACTAGAGGAAAATTCACCTCACACTGCTGAAGTCGTGCTGATAAAACCCTAGCTGCTGGATGACAGATTCCCGAATTTGGCAACATCAAAATAACACCCAAATAATAATTGGGTTTCATCACATATACTCATAAGTCCATGCTTGGGGTAAAATATTGCGTTACCCCTATCTGAGCTTGATTCAAGCCCAATGCCCAATCCAAATGCCCAAAAGTCAACTACGAGCCAAAGCCAAACATATGGCCCAATTTTCCAAAATAGGCCCAAACCTTTACAAGGTATTATGCTAAGGCCCAAATCATTTAGTGCGGTCCAAACATTTGGCATTTCTAATGGCCCAATATCTCCTAATCATAAAGGCCCAAACTATGGCCCATATATGGCCTAATTTTCCAAATTAGGCCCAAACCCTCATATGGGCCTTACCCTAAAGCCCATCAACATATTCTAGTCCACATGATTATTCTCGGATGGCCCATCCATATCCCAATCATCAAAGCCCAATAGAAAGGTCCAACTCAAAGCCCAAGTGAAATTATGGTTTAACATAAAATGACGTTTAGGGTTAAGTGTTTCTCACTTAACCCATTAAGGACTTATTCCATTAAGTCCATCACTCTTCTAAATAAATCATATGGTATGATTGGGTGTAATTCACAAATTCCATTCCAATGGCCCAAATGTGGGTCCCGATAAGTCCAAGCCCATATATCCAAAATTAGGGTTTTTAAACCCTAATCAGGGTTTCCAATCCAATCATAACCCAATAGGACCAAAAGTTAAGTCCTTAGATCTATTAGGGTTCATTAGGCCCATTAGGGTTTCACTGGGCCCGTTAGCCACATATTTGGTCTTTTGGTCAGTTAGGGCTTCATTGGTCCCATTAGGGTTTCATTGAGCCTACTAGGGTTTCAGTAGGCACATTCTGTCCAAGCATCCCAAACAATTCAAACACATCAAGCACACCGCCACCCAACACGATGGCTGGTGGCGGCAGGAGGGGGCAGGCACCACTTCACGGTGGTGGTTAGGGTTTCTTTTCATTATTCCAATTCATAATTACATTTTACAATATTAAATCTCAAATAAACACACCCACCCACTAAGATACACACACACGGTGGTACATGGTGGCGGTGGCTTTTCTTGATTTCCTGGCTAAACGAAACACACACACACACTCATAGAAGAAATACACGCACATACACATTTTCATGCTTGCAGTGGATCCAGCCACCCACCTGCTGGTGTACGGTGGCGGTGGTGACACAAAGCGGCGGGCAACAGTTTCGAAACAGCGACGTCATGCGGTGGGGATGAGTTTCCATCCGATTTCTGGCCAAGTAAAGATCTACACAACATTATCCTTACAAGATACGATCATAAACACCACAAATCACACACACAACCACCGCCACATGGTGGCTAGTAGCGGCAGAAAGATGTGCACGGCAGCAGCAACCATGGTTGGCAGCCATAGTGGTTTTTCCTTAGGTTTTCGGGCCAATCAAGCATCCACAAGCACCTCATGGTTCCAACAACACCACTCATCAATTCCAGGCACGAAGCCACAACTTTCAACCACCGTCTAGGAGACTGGGGAGGCTGAAACGAGCAAAACGAAGACCATGGGCCCACTGGCGCCAACAACTGAGGAACGTGGCATCAATCCGCCGAGAACAACGAAGGGGGAGAAATAAACAGTGGTAGACGTCCTTACCCGGAGATTCCTGGTCACTCAAGACCACACAAAAACAAATAAGTCTCGTTCGTCGGTCTCTAGCGGTCACGCGGGCTGCACTCACGTCTCCCATGGCGGCACAGTGGCGGTGACATTCATTGGTGAAGTAGTGGCAACAACTGGAGCTAAAGTAATGAAGATGGTGGCTGAAAGTGTAGATAGGGTTAGGGTTTAGGTAATGTAACAGGAGGAAGAAGACTTCGAGTTTAAATCCCACTCCAATCAAACCTTTGCCCATTTTTACAAGTTTAGTCCCTCCCCTTTAGGATCTTTTCAAATCAACTCCAATAGTTACAATTCTACCCCTCCCCTACAAATTATTCTCAAATAAAGTCCATATGTTACCATTCAACCCCTAAGCCTCCAAAATCTCTTCAAATTAAGTCCCAATAATTCACAAATTAGTCCCTACCTTCATAAATATTTACGAAACTGATCCGAAACTTTCACTTTAACCCCTGACTTCTAAGACTGTAACCTTTGGCTCCCGAAAACCAACACCCCACTAAAAATTATGGATCTTAGGGCTAATATTCATACTAATTTTATCTATTTATTTATTTAATAAACAGGGTGTTAAATTACTCACAAAGGTTAAGAAATGATGTATTATTGTTGGATATGTTATTGAATACTTCTTCCATACACTTTGCCACCACCCTGTTCTTCAAGATACCACCTTCTAAGGGAGAAATAAGCTCATAAATGATACCAAGACTCAAAATAAGTGACAGGATGATAGGTTTTCAAGATAGAGGCTCAATAGGGTGGAGGCTCATGGTAAGAAGGACCCCCAAGGGGTTAAGGACCTTAAATAAGGCTCAAAACCACCAAAATATGGTTTTTACTCTATGGTGGTACGCCCATCGTAACTACCCAAAAAAGCAACTTCCTCAGCCCAGTACACCTAACGTACTCCTAGTGTACGCCCAACATATTGCCAACTCTTTTCTTCCAACCTAACTTCAAATAACCATAACTTCTTCGTCTTGCAGCTTAACTTCAAACGACCATAAATTTTTCGTCCCATCTCTATTTTCGATGATCTTTATATCCATTGAAACGTGTCTATGAGTCTAAAACTCTATCTAGTTACTTATGACTAAAACCATCTTGAACTAAAATCTTTAATTTGTGCAAGAAACCCAAAACATTACATATCCCACTTTACCCATCTGCTTCCATTCAACATTTCAAGGTTTAAATTAGTTATCCAACACCATTAAGATCCAAAAGAGTCTAATATAAATTCCCTTGAAACCCAAGGGCTTACATGGTCGAATTACGATCCATAAACCCTGAATTAAGAAACGTCCTAAAACAGGATGTTACATACATATACCATACTTTTGTGAGGATGCTCTTCATGTTGGCAATGGTATGGTTTTACCTATTCTTTATATTGGTTCTGCTAATTCTTATTCACCCTAAAAACATTTTTTTATCCAATATTCTTCATGTATAGGAAATTAAAAAGAAACTATTTTCCTTTAAAAAAGTTTTGTGTAGAGAGTAATGTTTTCTTTGAATTTCACTCATCTTTTTTTGTTGTAAAGGACAATATTACCAAAACTACCCTCCTCATTGTTGGATTAGGTGTCTAAGCCCATAACTATAATTGGTATGTACTTGAACTGATAGCAATACAGTCCTTTTGGGTTGCCCTCAAACCTAGCAACCGGACAAGGAAATTATGAAATGAGAGATATTGATTTATTATAAGATTAATAAATTAATATAAATGAATTTATTAATATGTTAAAAGATTAATATATTAATTAGGAATCACTATGTTTAATTAATAGTTAGCCATAAATTAATCATAATTAATTTTGGGGTTAATAGTGTTAATTATAAAGTGCAGGGACTAGTTTACAATTATCAGATAGTTGAGTGGAAGGCTCCAGAACCTCCATGGAAGGAGGTGGACGAAATCTATAGGGAAACCCTAAGGATTTCGTCCAAGGGGTTTTAGATAAGGCCTTTGGATTTGCTTAGGCCCCAAGCAAAGGAGTATCAGGGTTTTCCCTAAACCCTAGATCCTTCAGCTATATAAGGAGCCTCCCATCTCCTAAATTTGGTGACTCCTTCTTTGAAGAAACCCTAGGGCCAAAATTGCATACTCCTTCTACCCTCTCTCCTTCAAGTTTCCTTCTTGCTAATTCTTGGGTGTGATTCCATTAGAGGCGTTACATTTGTGGTGCTAAGCTTCCAAGAAGATCAAGATCAAGATTAAGAGGATTGTCAATTGTTTGCTATAACAATTGAAAGGTATGTAACTCCTAAACCCTAGTTTGTTATTTTTGAAAATAGTCACTCTCCTCTAGGGTTCTTGTTTTGCAATTCAAAGTTATATGTTCAATAGTTAAAACATAGATCCAAAGTAGGTTGCATGTGAACTTAGGAATTGTTTTCTAGTCTATTAGTTTTACCTAAAACCCATCACCCATGGGTCCAAGTGACAATGGACTCTACTCCATCCATCTTCCGTCCTTCCAGCGTCTTCCCAAAGTTGAATACACTAGTTCTAGATCTTCTTCTGATATCTTGCATTAACGGCTAGGGCACCTTCGTTCATAACTTTTGAATTTTATGTGTTCTAAATATCATCTTCATGTTTCTAGCAAATCTCCATATTCTTTTTGTAATGCGTGTCATATTGGGAATAAAGGAAAACGTGGTTTACAAAACAATGCTCTAAGCAGAAAAAAAAATTAACAACTAAATGATTAGGGAACATGCAACCTAAGGAGACGGTATTCCACCAGGTGAAGAGTCTCTAAAAAATCTAGTCAACTTCGTATAGGAGATGGTATTCTTACAGAATCAACTACCAAAGATCTATCAGCAAGAGCGATTGTCAACAAGCACAACACATGACATAAATGACTTCATTTTCAATATGGCACCTGGAACTACAATAGTTTATCAAATTGTTGATTCGATTGAGTTAAATGAAAATCAAACGTTAGAATTTGAAAGTTTTTATCCACCCGAGTATCTCAGTAAGCTGAACTTTCCAAGCATACCTCCACACATATTATCACGGAAAGTTAACACTCAAATTATGTTAGTTAGAAACTTAAACCAACGTGAAGGATTATGCAATGAAACACGTCTAATTGTCTCACACTTACTGCCACTCCTAATAGAAGCAACTATAATGACCAAAACATCCATTGGAAAACGGGTGTAGTTGCCACGTATAAAATTCATTCACAAAAGCCCTAATTTTCCTTTTACATTCATTAGAAAACAATATACAATCAGAGTTTGTTACGCCATGACTATTAACAAAAGTCAAGGTCAGTTTTTGAAAAAAAAATTGACGTTTACTTACCTAAACCTGTTTTCAGGCATGGTCAACTATACGTTGCATTATCTCGTGCGACATCTCCAGATTCGATCAAAATTGTAACATATCCCAATACTCACACATCACATACCAAAACAAATAATGTTGTTTTTAAAGATTTTTTTACACAATGTAGATAGTAATGAGGTGGAACTCCTTATCAAACTCATTAAATTTAGCCTATATTACATCATTCATTTATGGTGACTTTACGTTACAACATTTCTATATATAAAAAACATTTATACTACTTTTTTAATAACCTCATGTGTATTACTGATTCAACTTTAACAGCAACAGTATGTCCGAGACACTTACAACTATTTCCGAGTTACACTATGGGTCTACTGGAACAAGGGTTGAAGTACGAATAATTCACATATGGACACCACAATATTGTACGTATGAAACATGGTATCTAGGATTTGACAAATATGTAAGTTTCTAATGAAATTTAAACATTCTTACAATCTATACTATGTATCTTACATTTATACTTCACTACTCAGGGTGATGCAATCCAAATATTAGGTCAGAGAAAAGATCAAGGATATCTACAATTTGTTTTCCAGGTTTCTAAATGTTATGCAATTTGTAAATATGGATGTGGAGAACCTGATTCCTTTCAAAATTGGATAGACAACATAATATATATGGCTGTTGGAATGGCTTCCTCCATCACACTACTTCTGGACACTGGTATAATTCCTTGGAACTGATTTCACTTTATATCAAAATCCCAAATCCCTGACTTTGTTGACCAATCGCTAGGTAAACAGTTTAACTAACACTTATTACACAAATACAATGTTTAGTCTTTTACAAATACAAACCAATTGTTCCAACTTACCACAACACAAATTACCTATGCAGACTTTTTAGGAGTTTTCGTGAAGTTTAGAAACTGCTTAAAAAAAACGGTGAACCATTACTCCTTATAATTTTGAAGAATAATTTGTAAGTATTTTTTATTTTCTAATATATTATACCCTTTACTCACATTTATAATATGTATGTACCATATAAGTTTGACCGCGTTGCAATTGAAAATGAAGTTATTCCTGTTGTAATTGCTGTGACAAATGTTAAAATCTCAAACGTTGGAAGTACACACAACACAACACCATCTCAGATAAAAAAAAAGTAACCCATTGAAATACGTAAACAAATTTAACCATACCCCTAAAACACTTTAACGTTACATACACATTGATGCTTGGAACAACGAGTGCAAGTCATGTTTACATTAACCCACAAGTTCCAGAAACAAAGACACTACTAGAAACGTACAGTCAAACATATACATTACTGTCCTTTATGATAAACATTTATAGTCGCTGATTCAAAATAATTGCAGTTACGCGAACAATCCAACTCTTTCAGCTACAATACAAGCTCCTACAATATCACTATTTGACATGAATAGAAAAGTTCACTCCGATTTGTTGGTGCACACCTCATACATTATTGCATGCTTCAAATTATACTTACTACACATATACAACAATAATGTTAAAACCATAATTGCAGGAGAAACCTTCACTGTAATCGCATCCATAGTACATTTCAGCTTTGTATATACCTGGTATCAGGTGCTCTTTCCAAAATACAAAAGACCCACACTGAAACAAGGAAATACTTGGTTTTGTACCTCAAACAGCTAATAATCCAAACTATGTGTGAGTAACTTCATCCATATAAATATTGAAACTTTAATTTCATATTAACATCCACCATTTTGAAAACTGTGTACAGTTACAAACTCTTAACAACCATCACCGATTCCAGTGACTCAATGAATGTAACTTTGTCCGACAATGCTATGCAAAAACTGACTGGTACAACAGCAGACAAGCACATACAAGAAAAAGAGCACAATAACAGAAAAAAATTACCACCTACCATTACTAAGTTCAAAGGTCTATCTAAAAAAATGGTTGTTCAAATGATGAAAACCTCGACCACAAATAAAACTCGGTTTGTTGTGAACACTGATAATCCTCTGACAAGCAGCCTATCGACAGTAGATTGCACCTAAACTTTGGAAAATGCAAAACTCCTTTAATAGTGGTTCCATTGGGTAAATGACAATTTCCTTTACCTTCAACAGGTATGGAATCACCATTTGGTAGCATTACAGGAGGTTTAAGAGTGGATACCATTTTGTTTTCAAGCCAATCGGCACAATTTGTTATGTGTTCGTTACACACGGAACGGAATCCACTATCCAACCATTATCCTCTCTATCTTTACACGCCATGTTGGCTTCTAGAAGTAGCTCATCCTTTGACGAGTTTTTTATTTGCATTATTAGCGTAAGAGAGCACAATATTGTTGAGAATTCGAACCAGGTATAGGAGAAGTATTAAAAACGACATTCTTATGTTCAAAATTGAAACTGGGTGATCCTTGGCGTAAACACAAACACCTGGTGTGTGTCGAATGCAGTTGATACAAAACAGTACAAATAGATAAAAACCAGGACTATCAAGCCTAATTTCATTTGATGCAATCAAAAAGAAACATAAGATGATTAACAAGAACATTCCATTACCAAAACAAGATAGTTTCATTTCAATTTCAGAACTTTTCAGCTAGAAGGTAATTACATCGGGTATCCCAAAAACCAACGAAAACCAGATTGCTAAAGATGCTAACAGACCAAGAAAATCTAACCGCTAGTGAACTTTGTCACAGCCTTGGTACCTTCAGACACAGCATGCTTAGCCAACTCCCCGGGAAGGACAAGTCTGACTGCAGTTTGAATCTCCCTCGAAGACAGAGTGTTCTTCTTGTTGTACCTTGCAAGCTTAGATGCCTCTTGAGCGAGCTTCTCGAAAATGTCGTTGATGAATGAGTTCATGATGCCCATCGCCTTACTAGAGATACCAATGTCAGGGTGAACCTGCTTCAAAACCTTAAAGATGTAGATCTTGTAGGTCTCGACCGATTTCTTGTGTCTCTTCTTCTTCTTATCTGCTCCCGCAGCCGATGCATCTTTCGGGAGTTTCTTCTCTGCCTTGGGCTTCTTCTCAGCCGGAGCCTTTTCCGCTACCGGTTTCTTTCCGGCAGCTGCCTTGGGCGCCATTGATACAGTTGGAGGGAAAATGGAAATAAAGAAAGATGTGTTTGTAGTAGATGAATTCGAAAGGCAGGATGCGTTTGTTGGCTTATTGGGATGTGTTTATATAGCCTGTGTAAAACCGATCTGATTGGTTAGATTAGACTAACGCGGATCGTGATTACTGGTCGTTGATTGCTATCAAAACTATTTGAAAAAAAAGGTCCCTAAAATGGTACAGTTAACAAAAAGTTGAAAATTTCGAGAAAAAATGTTGCTATTTTAGAGAGAACGCTGCTGCTATCAAATTATTTAGGAGGTGTTTGGATTAAATTTTTTGTTTATTGTTTATAGCTTATTTGTGATGGGAATAAGCAATAAGTATGGGGAGGGATGCTTATTAAAATTAGCTTATTTAGCCTAATAAATTGGATTTTATCCAAACACTTAAATTAACTTATTGTGGGAATAAACAATAAACATTTCTCTTTTTCCTATCCAAACACCCCCTTAAGAAACAAAATTCAAAACTGATTTAAATGTTAAAGGTATGGTCAAATTATTTTTTTTACATAAATTGTCCTTAACAATCGTCCGTAATACATTGAAGTTAAATAAATTTACATAAAATATCAGTAATTGCATTTTTCAGAAAAATAAGCATAAGAGGATATCACGTATCAATACAAAAATATTAGTGAACTCTGACGAACAGTTCAACCACAATGAATTTTATACATTAAATATGATCAACAAAGAGGATATCATTGCTCTGCAGGTATTTATCTTTATGAATCGTTTGGAGGCAAGACCATTTTATTTGGAGATGCCTTTAGACAAATTGTTCTAACAATACAAAGAGATAAATGTTCAGATACTGGGCATGCATCATATTCATCCAAATTACACCGTGATGTACAGTTTTACGTTTAACCATAAATATAAGATTTATTTTGGTTGTCTAACTAATGATTTGGATGAGACAAAAGCATTTGATGAGTGGATTTTTAAAATTGGTGAAGGTAATACTGGCGGCCCTAATGATGTTGAAGTTGAAATTGAATTTTCAGAAGATGTTGTTGTGCGCTCTACAGGTAATCATATTCATTCAATTGTATCCATAATTTATCCATCCTTTGAAAATCATCTTGATGATCAATCATATTTTCAAGATAAAGTTATTTTGGTCCCTACAAATAAAGAATTTGATGCTACCAATTAGTACATTTTAGGATTGATGAAGGATAAAGGGAAAACATATATGAGTTCAAATTATTTACGTGATACAGAGTTGCCAGTTTTTTTTAGGAATCATTATACTATGCAGTTGTACTGAATGGTTTTAAGGCATCTAGAACTTCCAACCATAGACTTATACGGAAAATATGTGTTCCAGTCATATTACTTTGTAATATCAACCAAACCAAATGACTATGCACTAGTACTAGATTATAGATTGTTAGACTTGGAAGAAACGTCATTGAATCCTGAATCATATATGCTAGATTGTTTATCGAGAATACTTATATGTCTTGTATTAATTTAACTCTGTCTAATAAAAGAATCTCATTTCGTTTTCAGCGGAGGCAATTCCTCAAAGTAGTTTATTTTGTTATAGCCATTAACAAAAGTCAATGACAATAATTATCAAATGTTGGATTATATTTGCATAAACTCATCCTCACTCATTTTCAGTTATATATTTTTTGTTTCTTGTGTCACAATTGAAAAGTGATTGAAGGTAATCATATATTACGAGGAAGGTTGTCCAACTAATAAAACAAAAAGTTATGTTTACAAAGAGGTCATTCGTCTATTATAGATATTCAAGTGTTTCTTTGTTTTTTTTCAAACATTTAAATGTTAGCAATAATGTTAAGTTTGTTTATGTTCCTTATTTCCTTTGAACACGGGAAGATGGAAGAACATAAACTTTATTGAAAATAGTGACGTCCTAATACATCTGCCAATTACTTAGCCCCACAGCTGCAATCTTCTAGCCAATCATCACAATCATTTCCTTCTTGAGTTTCATGACTCGAATGAAACTACCTTAAGCAAGGACATTAAGACCTCAAAATCAACTAACTCACTTGGGTATGCACCATTCAAACCCAAACATACATAGCCACTAAGGCCCAAACAATCACCAAAACCATCCTCAACCTGAACGACCATAACCGATAAATCGATAAAGACGGAAATACAATGCAACGAATCATGGTGTCAAACCATGCCATATTCCATTTACCAGTTCCTTGGAATCCCCTAAATTTTCCTTGAGTCAAGTATAGGTCCTATGCTTCCAGTATTACGAGCCCAATACTACATTCCACGCCTATCGATACTTTCCTCAAGAATCATCTCGAGTCCTCTAAGTAACTACTCCTGTCCATATCCATCGTATCCAAACCCATACACTCATTATCAAACGAATACACATTGTTAAACAATGCAAGAATCAAGCTAAAAAAATACCCCATAGGCTTTCTTAGGAATCTCTTCGCACCTCTCTTCGCCATTAGCTGCAAAAGAAACTCCCTCTAACCTACTAACTACCTCACAAATACAATTACATGCCACATGCACTAGATAATTCTTCAACTGCAAGGTCTCAACCTATAATGGTTGGACTCAGATAAGAGCTGTGAAATAGAG